ATAACTATGTAAGAACAAATGTATGGGAGTTAAATCATTTCAAGCATTTGTCAAAGATTACTTAAATAATGTTCAAGCAAATTTGATCATTTTGTCATAATCAAAACTAGAATAATTTTAAAGCTAACATTAAAGACTCCAAATATTACCTTAGATTTACATTTGGAAGTTTAATCCTAGCCAGGATGAATTAGCACTAGGATGATTATAATCTTGAAATCAACCTTCACAGATTACTCGAATGGCATCCTTGTTTTGATCATAAGTGTATAAAGATGTATTAGTGGCATCATCAGTCTTCACTTCATGCAAGAACTTCTCTTAGCGAAACAACACATCTTTAACCTATTTCCAATATGTGGGAATATAATTAATTTTCCTTATAATTTTGAAGAAAGTTCCCTAATAAGCTTAACAAGAAATTATGTGACTTCGCAAGTTAACAAATTCCTTTTACGTTGAAATTTAATTATAAAAATAAGATTGAAGGAATCACTCTCTTGAGAAAGATTGTGAAACTTTGAATTGTTCAGAAGACCATTCTTACAAAGTGATAGGAGTGATAAATGTTGATGCCGAGATAAAAAAATTTGATCAAGTGTATGTCTATTTAAGAGAAAAAAGAATCCCTTCTTCATTTCTTCATCTTCTTAGAAAGAATGGCAAGGTGACCTTTGTAGGCTTTAAAGTACACCATTGTAAAAGGTGACAAGAGAAAGGAACATGATATGAAGACATAAAAAAGAAAATCATGACAAAGGTGTAAGAAGAAGGGAGTACATTGCCTAATGTCATTGGACATTTCGAAAATCCAAGGAGACAATTTCCAGAGCAAGAAAGTTTGCCGAAGATATAAAGCCATGTATTAAAAATTATGAAAAGGAAAAAGAATGGCTTCATAAAGAAAAGGAAATCACGAAACTTTTGAAGAAAAGGATATGTGCCTAAGCTCATTGTTTGGTTTAATTTATATCATCAATGCTGTGCATGGCTTCAAGAGCTAGCCACACCACTTACTGGAAAGAGTTAAGATACAAAGAATTGATTAATCAACCACAAAACAATCAAAATAACAAGTGTCAATATGCATGGACTACTGCATGGAAGTGGGGGACTTACTTTGTTCTTTCTTCTTTTCTTTTTCTAGAAGTTCATATCTTTCAATGTTAGATGGCTTGGAAGAAGGGAAAAAGAAGACCATTTAGAATATTTATTAAAGCATCAAAGCCGAATGTCCTTTGGTTAAGAAAATGTGCTGGTAAGGATGCGAATTTTATGAGCCAAGAAGAAAAGGAGATTACCTTAGCTACTTGCTCAAATAACCAGCTCCAATTGCTCTCAAATATTTACCATGTCTGGCTAATAAAGTCATACTTCACATGTAAAAATATGTAGGCTAAACAAGCAAGGAAAGTGGTCGAATTGAATAAAAACAGAAGCTTCTGCACCTCACCTCTTCAATTAGTTCCAAATTTTTTATTGAGTCTAGCCCACAAGATTATATATCATTTGTGATAATATGAGAATAAATAAGTAAGGTAAGTTATTGAATTAAATCAAAACATGCCATGTGGCAGTGTAATTAACTCTTCAATATAATTTATCAATGTCATTGTCATGTCACATGAAAATGGCGTGTAATTTTTATTACTTGTGCTAGTCAATAAATATTTATAAAGATTAATTTGAACGAAAATAAAAATATAAAAATTTAATTGGACATAAAAAATAAAACTTAATTTTAATTTTCTTGTATAATTCAAAAGTTTGTTCAAGTATTCTGCAATTATTTATCTTTTTTGTAAATGAATAAAACAAATAAAAATATTTTTACATTACTTGTGATAAATGTAACATAAATTATAATGATTTTAAACGTAACGGAAAGTAAAAGTAAGTATAACCTGATTATTATTTAATGTAGATAGTAAGATTTATTGTAAAGTTGAAATTAGTCCTTAAAATCTTAACTTAAATGAGTAAAGGTAAAGGTAAAAAGTCATAACATTTATGGTGAAATAGAAAGATTTAATATCCATTTTTTATAAAATATTTAAAGTAATTTATATTTCTTGAACAAGTTACAAAAAGTTGAAATTATAATTTGAGGTTAAATATTTCTAAATAATGAGTATAACATAATTAAGTAAGTTAACAAAATGTTAATATTAGAAAATAGTAACATTTTAATTTTAACATATAATGAGTAACCACATATATTTCTAATATCATTTACTTCTTAACTTATAGAATTAATTTTTATTTTTTAAAAATTATATTATTTTCACTAAATAAATAAATTTGATATTAAAATTCTTGTGGGGACGCATCAGTGGCTGACCTGAGATGATAAATGGATGACGTCAGTAGTAGCACGTGAGTCCTCACGTGATTACTAACTGTTCTCCTCTTTTCCCTTCGGACCAAAAAAATGAAAACCATTTTATTTCAGACTCAGTAGATCATCATCAGCCACAGTTAAACCTAATTTTCATTATCCTTTCTTCTGCGAACTCTAATTTCTCTTTCTTTCTCTCTCCTAGGGTTTCCATCTTCTCTCATTTGCTTTTACTCGCTTTCCTTCGTCTCGGATCTTGTTGCTGGCCCAATGGAGTTTGGTGGTGGACGCAAGAGAGGCAGGCACGAGGCTGCCTTGAACGGCAATGGAGGCCTCAAGAAATCCAAGCAAGGTGCGAATTTTCCACTTCTTTTCTATATATGTATCAATCTGTGTATATTTATGCTTAAACAAGTTCCTTATGTATACTTGTAATGAAATGGTCGTTTCTGGGGTTTGTAGAACTGTTCTTTTTTCTGCTTTCTTCATGTGAGCCTTTCTTCAGTATTTTTTCTTGATTTATTGAAAAATTGGAAAGCTTTTGTGTAGTTTAAGACTGTTTTCTTGCTGGAAAAGTACAAATGGAGATATGAACTCAACACAATTACCTGACAAGTGGCAAGCATATAAATTCGTTTTGTTGAAAAGTTTTATCCTTTCAGGACTATTACCCTTTGCTTCAAAGGTGGAGTTTAAATGGTCCACAAACGGGTTAAATTGATTGTCAATTATCCATTTAGCTGTATATGTTATCGTAATAATTCTATGTTTAGTTTCTTATATGGTTCAATGGGCATGTGACAACCAATCAAACCCGCTTGTGGACTTTTTGAATCCATTGCTGTTGTGTAGGGTATTATCTGTACATGTCTGTCTGTGTGTATTTCACTTAGTTTGGGTGTGCTGAGCTGAAAAAGCTGCGAGTTTGAACTTTGGTTGTGATTCTTGATGTGCTTTATTGATGACTTTTAGCATCTTTGGGTTGTGGTTGCATAGCAAAGTTTGTATTGGTGGTGGTTATGGATTCATTTTTGTCTTCTCTTATTCCTGTATAGTTCTGTTATTTGGATAAACAGTTGAATGTGGAAGTCCATTAATCCTCGATCGATTCTGATTAAGCTTTTCTTGCATGACTAGCTATAATAGCTTACTTTAGCTTTAAAACCAGTGTTATATTCGTATTTTTGCTTTGTCGTTGCAATTTTTATGAGTCTTGATTAGTCATTTATTTCTTTATATTTGAAACTTTGGCGAATTTCTCTGGGTATGCTGATTCCTGTAGAAGTTTGAAATTTTCATGTGAAGCAAATAGATATTAGCCTTTAATATGATTTCTCACCTGGAAAACAATGGAAAAGGACAAAAGCAAAGAATTCAATTTTCATTTTATTATCTGAAACTTAGTTCATGGGAAGTATGAAGCTCAACTTATTTTCAAAGTCACTTAGATGAGTTGTTATTTCTGCTGGAACCAAAAAAAAATTAAGTATAATGTTTAAATATTCTTTTCTTTCTTTGTTTCTTTATTTTCTTAAATGAAACACAGGATGCTGTAATGGACAGAACATATTTATAAGTCCTTTACTGGACATAATTATCAAATTGTCAGCCCACCATTTAATTTTTTACTAAGATTGATGGTTATATTCTGTAAAAATTGATGTAAACCAATTATTCATATTTTATAAAGCGCATACTTTTTTATAGTAGTGATAAGAAATGGTAACATGGTATTGAATACTCTGTAAAGTTCAAAAATCAATAACTCACTGAAATTGTAACTGAAATAAATGAATTAATGTTCTGCAACAGAAATGGAGTCCTTTCCAACTGGTATAGGAAGCAAATCGAAGCCATGCACAAAGTTTTTCAGGTTCAAATCTTAACCTATCTAAAATAAATAGCCTAAATGCACTTCCATCTATTTCTAATTTTTATAATTTGCAAGTAAAATTTCTTAGACATCAACCTTCTGAAGCAAAATTTATGTGATTATCACTAATGAATTGGTCACTTAAAGTGGTGATACAGGTAATACTCTTCGCTCTAATCATGATAAGAAAGACTATGGAACAGAAATGGTTGATTTCTTGGTGAATTCCTGGGTTAACTACATGCTGGCCTATATGAACACAAAAAGCAATTATGCAGGATGCAAAGTTTTTCCATCTTATAGTATACTTTTATAATCTTATTTAATCTTTTGAATTAAATACAGTAACATGTGGATTATTGAGTTGGCACCTAGTTTGTTTCAATGGATAATGGAAATAGAATGGCTAAAGAAATATGGCTAAAGTTTTAGTAGAATGTATTTTGCTTTCTTGCTTTTCAGGGCTCTCTATTCAGATGCAAAATTATGGGAATACACACGCACACACACGCACACACACACACAGGGTATATTGATTGTAACTTAAGCAGGTATTTCATGAAATTGATACTGGGTTCTTTGTTAATTAAATATTTGTAGGTTATCCCCCAATTAATTCACATTTTTTCTTGAGAAAGGGTTTTTTCTCTTATTTAATTGATACATAATTTTTTTTTAGCATCGACTTATTTAAAAGTAAAGAAATGAAGTTAAGAAGGTTTCTTATTTTATTTTTGGAGATTGTGTAATTTGTGTAGGGTTTTTTTTTTTTTTCATTTATTTGATTCATAGATCTTGCATTTATGGAAAAATTTTTTTATGTTGTTGGTGTTTTTTTATCTTGATTTTCTTTTGCCTTTTGTTTTTCTAAAGAAAGCTCAAGAAGATTTCGTGTCAAATTTTTTGGATGTTGTCTACTGATCAAGTAGCATTTTGGTCTAGTGTCTTTATTCATTCATTGCATTCTTATTAGACCTTGACTGAAATTCTTTTTGTTTAAGTCAAATTCGTTTGGCAAGCTTAAGGATCTGATTTGTCTTTCATAGTCACACTCTGTTGAATTATGACTATACTGTTTGTCTAATTTGTCTCTTGTAAAATCAAGAATTTCATTATTTCCAGATTGAATTTTTTCTTTCATTTTGTTTAAGACGATACATGAATTTTCTATATCAATAGAGTCTTCTCCAATCTCTCTTATATTCTCTATAAATCTTTGTGAAAATATTAACTTGGTTTTGTATGCATTTATTTGATTTATGAATAGATTTTTAGCTTTCTCTTGGGGGGAACAAAAAGAATGTGTATAGACATTTTTTTCTAGGCGGTGAAGTATGTTGTGGTTGAAAATTTCATATGTACATCATTGAAGTTTGTAATGAGTCCAGTTAATTAAATGGCAGTGAATTGCAGAAAAGGGTACTTCAGAACTTTTGCGGATAATATCTTGTAATGGTGTTATTACAATGTCATTGTTATTACAATTGATAGCAACAGTGAGTCTCTCTCTTTCCTCGAAGTGATGGTAGTCATGAGCATTTTTGTTGTTTCAGTTAAACAACTTAGTGATTGGTATTATCTAGTGATAAAAAAATCAATAAATCTTATTTTATGAAAGTACTTGGAAGTAATGACAGCTAAGAATATGGATGCAGAATAACAATTTGCCTGTTACAGTTTTTCTGGCTGTTAGGAATTAAAAGTGCTTTCCGTGTACTGATATTAATTTGAGCTTTACACAAACTGATAATAAAAAAATGTTAAATTGATGTAGTTGATATTCTTTGGTTTAGAGAGAAGAAAGTTATTTATATGAACTTTGCTCTGCTTGGAGGGTTGCTTGGCATGAATTCTACAAAGATACTAATTGGAATTTAGAATGCCAGTATTGATGAGGGTTCTTAATTGGTGATAAGATTTAAGACAATTGGAGAGATCATATGTGATGATTGGCTGGGTTGATATGAGTTCTGCTTTTATTCTGGTTTAGCTTATGTCAAAACATGGGATTTAGTTCAAAATATTCTGGATTGATATCTATGAATGCTGGGTAGGTCTAGGACTTTTCTGATTGTTTATTTCGTGTTTGTTGATGATTGAATATCCTGTTAAGTTGCCTTGGATATGTTATTAAGTTCAAATGTTAGAAGATTTAAGAATAAATGTAATTTGCAATGGGCGGGGTTTATGTAAGATGTATAGCATGAATTGCCGACCATTTTTTTGAAAAAGAAGTTATGTTGTGTAAGAATCAATGAGTTTTGGAATAAGTTTCATGGAGGTGACATATAGTTTGTGTATATTTTTTAAGGCTAGTGCTGGAGGAAATAAAATAGATTATTGGAAGGTTTTCTAAATCATACTTTTGTATTTGCTCTGTTATTCTTGGCATGAGAGGAGTAGGAGAAGAAGGAATTGATTCTAAGTAGGGTTCATTATCGTGAGTGATGATTAGTTGATTACGTTCATCAGAGGGCTATAAGTATATTACTGCTTTTGCTTATTGGAAGCATAGAAGTGTAAGAACTTTTCTTTAAAATTGTTCCAGCTAAAATGGAGACTACCGGGCCAGATTACATAAGATTATGAATCATTGTGCTTGGGGAGAGAGAAGAAGGCAAGAAAGGATAAGGATGTGAAAAACAAGGAATGCTATTTGTAATACTAGAGGTAGTGCTTATATAGGCATCTGCAAGGAAAGTTGTATAATGAGGTTTGCTCTTGTGCTATAGAGATTATGTCTGCTTTAACTTCAGGGGCTTGGAAATACGGAAAATATTCGAAAGTTGGGAGATTTCTGTTAACATGCATATTGGATTAACTTAGCTGTATATATATTCTACATTTGGCTCTTTTTTCTTATCTAATTGTGGATTTGCTGTTAATAAGGGCCCATGCAATCTCCCTTTTTTCTTTTCTCTTTTGCTCACTTTGAATTTTGCACATGGTTTTTCTGTTTCTTTTTCTTGGCAATTAAATGATGGTTGGTTTGTTTATTTATTTGAATAGAATTACAGAGCATATCATGTAGAAGGAAATTTAGAAATTTAAATATTTGAGATGGAATTTTCTAGTCCTGACAACTTATGTGGGAAGGTTCCTTAGGTAAAATGTTTATAATTGATGGCAGCTTATTGTTGCCTAGGTTTTATGTGGTCTACTTTTAGATCATTATAACTTCTGGTTCTTACATTTCACAGGTTGGGTTGGTTGGACATAAATTCAGATTGATCAATTCTCTAAGGAATGTCTTGCATTGTTTCTCCTGATTCTTAAGTATTACATTAGATTTTCTAAATGAATATGTGCTCTTATTTAAATATTCAGGTTTTATTTATGACAGCTTAAACAATATTAAACGTGGAAGGATGGATGCAGCTTGATCTTGAAATTTTTCGGTCTCATGTCATCGCTTTTAAAACTTATTTAGAGAGGAATTGACTTTTTAGATTGAAGTGTCAAAAACTATGATTTCTTTTAAAGATGCTCTGTAGAGATGTGATTGTTGATTTGCTAGGCACGGGACAATAATAAAGGGTTGTGTTGTGTTTTGGTGCTTGTTACTTAATGATATAATAATACAGATGATTATTATTGTGTGGAATTCCTGAATATTATATGTAGAAATTATTTCTTAGTATTAATGAGATGGTCTACTCTTGAAAAGCTTTGATTAATTCATAATTATATAAGACTACACTGGTATTTATGTTAGAGCGTTCCTAAAAGTGTATTTCAGTGATATTAGCCTGATATGCTTGAGTTTTCTTTTATTTTACAGCACTTCTGGTTGCCCATTTGGTGAGAGCTGTCACTTCTTGCACTATGTTCCTGGTGGCATAAAAGCAGTGTCTCAGATACTTGGTAGCAACCCAGCTCTTCCTGCAGCTTCCAGAAGTTCAGTAGTGCTACCATCCTTCCCTGACGGGTCATCTCCTCCAGCTGTAAAAACCCGTTTGTGCAACAAATTCAACACCCCAGAAGGTTGTAAATTTGGTGATAAATGCCATTTTGCCCATGGTGAGTGGGAGCTAGGCAAGCCAACTGGTCCTGCCTATGAAGATCCTCGTGCCATGGGACCAATGCCAGGAAGGATGGCTAGCAGGATGGAGCCCCCCTCACAAGGTCTTGGTGCTGCAGCGAGCTTCGGAGCATCTGCCACTGCTAAGATCAGCATTGATGCATCCCTTGCTGGAGCTATTATTGGTAAAAATGGTGTGAACTCAAAGCATATTTGTCGTGTTACGGGAGCCAAGCTTTCCATAAGGGAGAATGAGTCAGATCCTAGTTCAAGGAACATTGAGCTTGAGGGAACATTTGATCAGATCAAGCAAGCCAGTGCAATGGTTCGTGAACTCATTTTAAATGTTGGTTCAGCTTCTGGAGGTAGCATGAAGAATCCTGCTATGAGTGGCTCTGGTGCAGCAAACAACTTTAAGACTAAGCTTTGCGAGAACTTTTCCAAAGGATCCTGCACCTTTGGGGACAGGTGCCATTTTGCGCATGGAACAGAAGAATTGCGCAAACCAGGAATGTGAATTCCTTCTTGTTTGGTGATTCCCGTGGTGTTAGGTCAGAACTCTTGCTGTAGCCTTTGGTTAATTTGGTGTGTTTCTATGAGTTTTGCCTTTTGTCGGATGCAAGGGTAGCTTGGAGTCAAGAGGTTTCTAGGTATTTCTTTTCTGATATTTTTGATAATTCTCTTTGTACCTGCGGAAACTGGGGCCAAGTTGCTAGCTCACTATGAGTTGGTTAATTCTTCAGCAGTAAGCCTAGACTAAATTAAACAGATTTAACAGATTCAGCTCGTTGTATGCCTTGATATGAGTTGGTCTAAGGAAACAAATTGCATTCCATTCACATGATGACGTATAAAATCTTAAACTAAGGAGGGGTTAAGTGTAACGTTTGGTATAAGTGCAGCCCTTATTGGGAGTACTAGCCTTGAAACTACAAACTATTAGAATCGCAGCAAGCCGTCTGCTCTGTATCTTCACTGGGAGGCAACCGTGTCAATACTTCATTAACTAGGAAAGTGATCAATGGTGAATGGATGAGCTAGAAAGGTGATTGAGGATATTTAATTGGGTGTTTAAAAAATTGGTTTGAATTGCAAATGTTAAGTTCAATCAAAATTTATAATCGAAGACATTTTAAACCAAGTTTTAAGTTTTGAATATTCACTCCGGACTTGAGCTTTTTAATATTATATATACATGTATAATCAAACTACTAAATCCCTATAAACGTAAATTATTGAAATAAAAGTATTTTAATATTTTCAAAAAATTAGTTTTATTAAAATAATAAATCCCTAAATTAGTTTTTATGTCCTTGTTAAAAACATTTAAGCGTAAAGGAGAAGGATATGAGAAATGAATATGAGCTTTTAAAATTCTCCCTTTAAATATATGCATGAAGTTTAAAAATATTTTCAAGGTAAATTCAGTTAATATAATAGCATTTCAATATGTTCATAAACTTTGTCGCTCTTTTTGGTTATATCAAAAAGGTTAAGAAGTGTGAGGTTTAAGTATTTAAACTCAAAGGAACATGGTTACTAATAATTGTCCAGTACAAATAAGTATTAAGTTCAATAATGATCTCTAACCATCAAATCAAAACATTGAGATATATTTACATGCAAGTATTCAATCAATAGATGAAGAAAAATATCCAATCATCGTAATATGATAGCATTAAATCAAGATATATTCTCAATAAATGTATATTCAAACAAAGCATAGGGAAATATACTAATTTAGCACATTCAAAGATCAATATGTGCAAGTAAGTCATAATATATTTTCACTCAAGATATTCAATTAAAGCATGAAGGAATGTATTAAACGAAGGCAATCAAGGCTCATATAGATATTTTCAACAAAGATATATTCCCAAGTAAGATATTTAATTAAGACATTATGGAATATATCAATATATTATAAACAAATCAAGATATATCTCCATTTCGTATATTTTCAAGGAAAGCATTAAGGAGTATATCATCAATAATTAATCCAGAATGCCATACAAAGTACTTTTATAAGCAAAGTGTGAACATTTTATCTTTTAAGTTCAATTTTGGATATGCATATATGTAAGACAAGCAAAGTCAAATATAAAGCTTTTATAAGTTTACATATAATATGAACATAATTTAGCTATATATGTGCAACTTTATATGCTAGTATGTTCACATATTCATTTAACTAAATAATCAAGTAATCATGCAATCAAATAAAAGTAAACAAATTGATTACACAACCAATCATGCAAATATATTCACAAGTTTATATACAAACAAATATAGCAAGAAGCATAACAATCATTTTTTGAGCACAAATGTGAGGCATTATCAAGCACAAATTTAATATGGTGTTTAAGAGATAATACCAACAAAGATAAACACTACTAGTTAAGATTTTACCAAGATCATCATTGAAGATTGTGAGTGCTCAAGAATCATAGGACAATGTTAATGGCCATCTCCCCCTTAAGCATTCACTAAATCAATTCCGATAAGGAGAATGGATTAAATGGTTAATCGTATTAAAGCATAGTCTTTCCTTCCTTTAAATGGATCATGAGACAAGTATGGAGATTCATCATGACCATATGATAGATAAGCATTACAATGGATATTCAACATATTGTTCAAATGTTTAAACATTCATAGAACTAGAAAAATATAAGTATTTAAATAAATATTCAATATTTGCTTAAAACACTCATAATTTCAAGAAGTGTATGCACATTAGTTCCAATGCATGTCCAAGATATCATTTTGCAATAAACACGTTTTCCAAATTTCATCATGCGTTGTCCAAGCACTATCAATCAAGCATTTAAAGAAATTCTTGTAAGAAGGACAATTTGAGAGAGAAATTTCTCAACAAGATCACATCATCAAATGTCATAAAAATATTATCATTAAGCCCTAATTGGTAATCTTTTTTCTTGTATATTTTCAAGCAAGAATTTCAATAAAAGTTCTCCTAATTATGCATAAAACTATCAAATTAAGGAGAATTTTTCTCATCAAGATAATATCATTATCAATGAAGCATTGCCAAGACATTTTGCACTTGTTGTAATCATACAACAAAATATTATGATCAAGTAAGCATAAGCATGATTACATGTAATAACATGGCTCTTTTCATTAATTGTGATTTTAATTATGTTCATAGAAATGCATGCATGATTTTAATAAAAAAACATGGGCATATACAAAGATGACCAATGAAGCTTAAAATACATGCTATATCTCAATTTTCCATAATTCATAAGTGATACAAGTTGTTATAAGATATTAGAAATCAAGCACTCAATTCATGAATATATATAACATAAGCATCCACGCATCAGTGAATACCAATTGTTAAGATTCAAGAAATAAGCATTCAATTAAGACTCATTAGATATCCATTGCCAACTCAAGCTATAGTCATTTTTCATCTTAAACTGAGTGATTCATGATAGCCTATAAACTAATGTTGGAAACACACAAGTCTTTGGATCATGTAATCATTTAAGCTCATGAAGAATATAGTTAACATTCAAAAGCATATTCAAAAAATTCTTCAATTATGTCAACACAAAATATCATGATCTAACTTGAGGATTTAAATTTCTCATTCAAGAGCATAATCCAAGTCAAGTTATAAACTTCAAGTCTTAAGATCAAACAAGATGAGATATCACATAAACATGTAACTTCACCAAAATGCTAGATGAACTAAATATATTTCATGAAGTTCAATGTAGTCATTATAACTAATTCCACATGGATAATCAAGAAATCAATTTTGAAACAAATAATTAAGCACAATCACAAAACATATTCTAAAAATTTATTCTAGACAAAGCATTTTAAAATTTCAGTTTCTCAAAAAAAGATTTAATCAACATGACCATATGAACATTTCATTTTCAAGAATTAATGTCATCTATGCAAGCATATGAGTAATAATAGGATCACTAGATACAAGCATTTGCTCTGTAACATCTCGTACCCTCGTTTAAAAGTTTATAAGACTTTATTGATGAGAAAAAAAGTTATTTGACGTAAGTCTAAGTGTTAGAAAACGGTGATTGGTAAAAAAAATATTTTAAAGTAAAATAATATTTTTATGAATAAAATATTAATATTTTATTTATAAGTGAGATTAGTTAAAAAAGAGATTATATGATTAATCTAAGTGGGGGAGAAGAAGAAAAGAAGAATTCGGAAGAAAAACGAGGTTAGAGGAACCCACATGTCTTTATTAAATAGAAAACAAACGGGTAAGTATATATTTAAATATTATGTTGACACGTTGATAGGGTGCAAACCTTATATTATATTTATACACATGTCAAGGAAGGAAATAGAAGAAAATTGAAATTTAAGAAGTGATGGGAGGACTTATTAAAAATGATGAGAACTTAAGAGGGTTAAATAGTTACTTTTGTTTTTTCTTTTTCTCTCTCTATGGCCGGTCACCCATGTGAGAGCTTATGAAAATTTGGTACAAAGAAAGAAAGGAAAGGATGGGAGAAGGAAAAAGGAAAGAGACAAGAAATTTTACCACTTGTTGACTAAATAAAGAACTTTGAATTTTCTCTTGACTTTTCTTTCCATTTCATTCTACCTAGCAGGCCGAATGGTACAACTTTTGTCATTTCTTTCTTCTTATCCTATGGAGAGATACTAGAACCTTCATCCTTCATTCTTTAATGCATTTTTTTCTTTCTTTAC